TATTTATAGTATATTACGAAACGTCGTAAAACACTCGGTTTTTTTTTATCGACTGGAAACTTGCTGAACGTATTCCTTTCAAGAAACATAAACCACAATGTTTTAGTACTACAATGCATTCATGAAGCTGTCAATTTGTTGACACTGTTTCTCGAATTCAGTCTCTTTAGCTAATTACGTAGTAGAGAAATTTGCAAAATAATAATCATACGCCAAACATATGTATAATCAGCGTGACTAATTCTTACTATTCTACGTAAACACTCTATATGGAAAATTATTCGTTTAAGTAAGTTAATTCAGTTTACTCTAGTAATTAGACAACAAAATTTGATTATTTCTCAGTGGAAATAGCAGTAACGTTATTACTGATGCAAATTCACCCCGCAATTTATTTGAACGAAATTTCGAGGCAAAATGGAACATCGTAACAGATCACCCTATTACCTCATGCATATTATTATTAAGAGACGTAATAATGTAAATTTTGAGATGTTATATACCACGGTCAGAATCACTGTGAGCTAATCTACTACTCGGATATATTCACACGAAGCAAGGACTGCTAACAACTTGTTGAAAAAATCCTTGTTTGATAAGACCAAGGTTACAAAATTAGCGACTTCATTCAGAAATTTGATGAACGATAATTGAACTATATTCCATATTTGATAATTATATTAAGAGACATTACAGATAATGAAGAGCGAAGATTTGTTATACATGAATTTTGTCCACCATATACATACCGTCGAAAAGTTTCCGGACAATAACTGTACTCAAATCCTTTAGCATGCGGTTTTTCTGGCAGCATGCAACTAAATCGTATTTAAAATTTGTCTACAGAACAACGTATATCCTCGCCCTTGTGAACATATAAAACATACCTCAAACATTTATCCATTTTACTTCAATTTTTCCCAACCTATACCCTTTCCGGAAACTTTCTGACGGCAATATATATTCCATAGTTTCAGAATTATTAGTCGTTGCATTTTCCGTGTCAAGCGATGGTACTATCGGTACGTTGGCATAATGACTACACTTGTTTTATTTCTTATGCAAAATTCACAACAGTGAACAAAAACTTTCAGATTACAATTTTCAAAAACAAAAAATTACAGATATGGATAAAGCAATAATATTTGCAAACGTGCAAGACTTCCGGCATTGAAATGACGCACGCATGAAACTTAATATTTCTTACGTAAAACAGTGCATAAGTAATAACAATAGTAACGTATATATAACTTGTAGTAACACATATAGCCGGTCCACTAGTTCGATAATTTTTTTTTGACAGATCGAGAACAACCAAGTGGTCACTGCACGAAATGTTTGTTACAAAGTATGCATATGGATGGTTATATTTATATTATTTTATTTTAAACCACGTATAATAAGATAAGTATTGCATTACTTTTGAACTATCAAAAAATACATTAAACTCATGGACCGACTATAGTTGTTCCTCACGGCAAACTTGTTGCCTGCTATTTATGTATATTGCCTTCAAACCATTATTCACATACGGAACATATTATATTAATTGTTTGAGCTTTTAAAGGAAGCAAAGAAATGTCCATATTACTCTTTTTATATGCATAATTAGAACGCTGCAATGCTATTATTCATTGGGAATTTTTTAGTGGCGCAATAGTCTGCATCATTCTGTGACTCAAGATTTTCAGCTGTTATAAAAGGAAAAAAATTTGAATGATGAATGATATATATTTACTTTGATATTTTTTAATTTCTTTGTAACTGATTAATCATTTAAATATACTATCAGTTAGGTACTTTTTATGTTTACGGAAACCGGGTAATTATTGTTTACTCCTTTTGGAAATCCTAATCCTTTAATCCTTTTTGAAATATATATTAGACATTAATAATTATTTGATAAACGGTACATGCTTTGGGAAAATGGAGTTTCGTCATATATCATAGAATGCCATAAATTTCTATAGCAGAATTTCCCATTTCCAATGTTTTTTTGCAAAAGTTAATGTGTAATTAGCCAATGAAAATCAATGGGGCACCATTCATTGTTTTAGGCAAAAAATAAAATTTATCTACGGGATATCATAATGCTTATCTAGAAATATAATAATTTATGAATTATTTACGACTATTAATATTCGCCGGTATGTGAATTATTACCATAATTTGCATGTATTTTCCCACGGCTATACAGTTCAAGGATTCAGTATTAAGATTTCAGGTTTTCTCTGCCCGAAACTGAAATCTCATTTTTATTTTAATACTAGCCGACCAGGCGAACATTGTTCTGCCATATAAATTATTTCTAGTGAATATTTTGGTTTTTAAATAAAAAATAACGAATGTATTGTAAGTGTGTGGGGATGGGATCTATGACAAAAAGAAGAATTGTGCGTTCTAGACGATGACCGCCGATAAAAACAAAAAAACACCAACCATTCATTTTCTCAATTCAATGTATTTCATCATGAAAGTTCGATGAGGCGGACGTGGCGCCATCTATCATTCAACAACGTAAATAATTTCGTTCTGTTTGAAATACGAACGACGATTAAATTATTTGAATATTGTTCATAAAAAAATACTAAAATCGCGTATAAGATTATCGCATATTAAGGAATGGAAGAGTAGGGGTAGGAGTGTGAAAATTTGGAGTTATAGGTATTTTCTGATGCCAAATAAAAAAAAATATAAAAAAAAATTGTATAAAAAAAATACAACAAATTTTTCTGGATAGGGACACCCTAATCACCTAGCGGTATGAAATATACTTTACGATCTATTCTCATACCTACCAAATATACATACCAAATTTCATAAAAATCGGTCGAGCCGTTTCGGAGGAGTGCGACCACAATCACCGTGACACGAGATTTTTATATATAAGATGTCAAATATAATATATTCCGCGCAACGAAACAATAACTGATGCTTTCCTTTACTCTTTGTAATCACCCCGTTTATGAATTGGATTATAATGCTTGATGGCAAAATGTAAAATAATAAATAAACAAACAACATGACAAACCTATGTGATTCTATCGTGCAATATATTCTACTGAACAGAGCAGGAAAAAAATTAAGAATTGAAATTTAAAAAATGATGTAGCTGCTTATGTTCAGTATACACGATTTTCTGTCTAACGCGAAGCATAACGTTTATAATATGTATACGTATAGCAGTTTGTTGTGATTTTACGCATTCGCTTCTCCACGGACCACTGAACGTGACTCTCGTGATTTTCGAGAATACCGATAAACGCAGCATCTGTACGTGTCAAACGAATATTTGCTATTGAAATATTGAGAAATTTTAAACTTTGACGGGAGGAAGTCGAACTGGAGAAATATTCCATATAAAAAGTTCATTTACATTCATTCATTCATTCATTCCACGTATTGCTGTATAAATTATGTTTCAAACGGCCGATGTATCGTTTTAACTATGAAGAATTGTAAAAAAGGCAAGTCCATTGCCTGCTATTAATTATCTTTAACGTTCATCTCATATCGATATTCTAGTTTTTCGTGGCAAGATGAATGCCCTAAATATAAAATGTGTAAAAAATTCATTTTTATGAAATTTTTTAATTGTTTTATCAAATATATTATGAAATAGAAAAACTACTGAAATTTTGGTGGTATTTATCAGTATTGTTAGCATGCAATTTGATATATTGATTTTGACTAGAAACAAATACAATTCGTGTATTTTTGAAAAATAATTGTTACACGAAAACGACTTTAAATCTTCTCAATAGCTTTCTTTGAATGTTAATCGAATAGAAGCAAGCTTGTACAGTAATATTTCTATTAATCTTTATATTATTTGTATACAAATATAAAATGTTGAAATTTTTCATCACACATAATTCTTTGATTCTTACATTCAGAGCAGGGCATGCTATTCAAGTAGTGGAGGACGATTTGTATTGCAGCACGTGTCCTCCACAGACACATTAATAGTAATGTATTTGCTAAAGCATTAGGTGATCAACGCTAACATCCATAGAGGTAAATTTTCGTTGAGTTTTTTCAAAGAATAAACCTTAATTTTGTACAGATTTCAATGCGCTACAGTTCACATTCACCAAGTGGATTTATTGTAGCGTTGACCGTTTAAAAATTACAACCTATTGTTTATCCGACGAATAAAATTCTTTATAAACAAATTCCTGTAATTTTAAAACGATCATTACTAAAAACATTACATTAATGTTTCTTTACGTTACGAACACGTGCTATAATACAAACCGTCCTTCACTACTGTCAATTAATACGTTTAACTTTGTAAATTTCATTGTAAAAATTTAGCTCTCATTTGATTAGTGCGCAGTGCAGTAGCTACCTTAAAGCTTAATACGTTAAATTAGCCAAGTTAAAGGGATTGGGGACCAATAATGAACAGGTAAGTTTTATGTATGTTAAGAAAGTTAAGAAAAATGTGAGTAAAAGAAGAAATGACTGGGGCGATAAGTAATAATAAATAGACCACGGTATACTATCAAAGAACCTCCTCAACTTATTGCAGATAGACTAACAATCGAAAATGATAATATTAATTATTTCCAAATAAATATATATAGAAAATAAAAAAAGGCTGAGAAATTTTATAAATTTTTCTATGAAAAATTTAATCTTTTTAACTCCCGTATAATTAAACGTGAACACGCTGTATGTATCATAGTAAATTTCATTTGTCAGTTAGTCTTCGAAAATCTTATTTTTCTATATCCTTCATTACCACTGAGTTAAAAATGTGTAATATCAGTCGATAAAGCAAGTTATAGTTAGTTAATATAACGATCATCATCCTCAACCCGAGACTCGACCGGGTTTCTTGATTCCAAGGCAAATAACTTCCACACCCACAGTGATGTTTTTACGTTCATTTATTTTTACGTTTTCGGAATAATACGGAAAGCTACCATGAAAATCGAAGAAAAAGTTGAGGAGTAAACGACATTGAATGTGATAAATATGTAGCTCAGACCAACCTGGTAAGACTGGATCAGGGCATAGGTGCTCTTTTTTGTGGTCTTCTAGTGTTCAACAGCTTTTCGAGTACTATGCTCCCAATTCGCTTTTAAAGTATAACGTACGTGTATATTGTTCGATTTCACTATCATCCACTTTGGTGATAAACGAATTCACTTCTTTATCCTGAATAATTTGACTTGTCAATTCAAGCAAAAAAATAGTCTCACGATTATTATAATGGAACTTAAAAAAACAAACTACTTCACTCATTAAAAGTATATCTCTAATATCATCCTGAGTATCAAAAATTTATTTCAGTCGAAGGTTTTTAAACAAAAGAATATTCCTCGTTGAACATTTCACTCTCTATTTTTACTTTAAGTTTTACAAACGGTTCCATATACATATATCGGACACTATAAACGATTTAGGTGTAACAATTGTTTGATAATTGAGACTTATCACGATGTAGATATTTTCAGATTTATTATATTCAAATCGTAAATAGGCGAGATACCCGGTTGCAGTTGGTTTGAGTCACTTTGAATCGCGTTGAAAGGATGCGTGCAAATGAGACGAGCCACACGACGCTCCACGGCTATAAACCTGCGTTCTTTTACCTGTATCTGCGTCACTAGCAGAATGCAGACGAAAAATTAATCGAACGTATGTCCTACGAGTCAGCTTATGGTTATCCCGATATTCCTACATATTTTATGTGGCATAAAGAAGAATTGTAAGTCCGACTTATCGTTCGTACATCGAATAATTGATTAACGTACTTCCGAAGTACCAATTTATCCTGCGTTAGTCATTCAGCTAATTTGTTCCGTGTATTTTCATTTAAAAATGTCTAATCAGACTGTCCACGAATTTCATCAATGATATTAACTGCAAAGTTGAGTAGAATATTTCAAAGTTGAAATTAAATTTTTTAATTGCACGCCCGGTTGCTTATTTCAAGCACTAACCTAACCTAACCCAATTGCATGCCAGTTCAGTTGGTCCCGTGGTTTAGGTACCGAAATATTCAATGAATTTGTCATAATGGCACTTCTGCCTACCTATTCACTTTCTGTACTTAGCATAATTAAGCTCAAGTTTCTATGACGACATTCCTTTAATAAATATCCAACTTGAGAATTATTCTTTAATACATTTTTTATTTGTACATCTGCATTTTTGGATTCTTTAGTAAACTTATTGTTTTGTGTATAATGTAAGATACCCATTGTGTATAATGTAAGATAACCATAATGTAAGAAATACGAAATGCGGAGGGATCAAAATCCTTGTATGTTCAAAAACATATTTAATTCGGATTTCCTTACCAAACACGCAAGTGTTCGTCATCTACTAGTTTACGTTATCCAATTTAATAAGTTAATAATTTTGAAGCAATTTAATCGAGTTATTCATAATAATTTTAGAATTCTTTGATACGAATTTCGCCTTCAGAAACTCAGCTGGCATTTATTTACGCATTTGTTCTTTCATGCAGAACTCTTCTCGGTGACTCTGACGTCAATGCCAGGACGATAATATCAACCCTAAAGAAGATAAAAGAAGAGAATCAAATCAATATTATAATGTAAAAATGTATAGTTTCATAATAAAACATAATTTTTAGCTTCTCGATATTGCTCACCAATCATTGTAATTTGAACTGTTACTTGTTGTTAGATAAATTTCAGATTTGTTCCGTAAGTGCAAAAAAACTTTACCTTGACCTCCACGTTTGAAGTAAATTCATTCAATGTATCTCCAACGCATCATTAATCAATTATATTGATGTGTCTGATTAGCATAAAAATATTCCGTTCTATTTGTTTAAGTAAACACAATCCAATACTTTATATGCACGACTACATTATGAAAAATGCGAAATTGTCTTATACATTCGCCATGACAAAAGCTGACTAAAATATCTGTATCTAATATATCAGACGGACCGTTTGAACCGTTTGATTTGAAATTTTACACGTATAAATCTGTAGAATTCTATTTTTAGAATTCTGGATGAATGATTTTAATCTATCGTGCTGACCAGGTTGAAATATACAAATAAAATTGTGAGCATGTGGATAGATCATTAATATTTGCAAGTGTCGATCATTACCAGTTTGAAAGTTCTGCCTCCACGGAATTAATTATTTTTTGTAGTGGCGAATTCGTAAGATGCGATCGTATGGCTTAAACGATCGTGCCAAACGACAAACCTGTATGCCTCGTTGATTACTCTTTCAAAACCCAGAGTCTCAATAAAGTAGACATAACTTTTCCTTTTTCCGAATTCCGATTAGCTTACGTCGGTAGTAACGCCGGTTGCCTATACTTGGCGCGAAACTCGACCGGGTCTATTGACATAATTGTGTACTCCGATAATTAATTAAGCACAAAAAGAAATTATAAACTAAGACGTTATAGAATACGAATTAATAAAGTAAATACTTGATATTACAACAAAACTATTATACTTTTACTCATTTTTTATATACTATAATATTCCATTGTGAATACAGAATTTGTGCCCAAACGTGTTATAATGATTCATGAAATGACGTAAAGTATTTTAAAAAAGCTGTCAAACATCATTACATAATTGTGCTCAAAGTTAACATTAACGATTCTGAAAAAATTTTCAAAATGAAAAAGCATATTTTGTAATACACATATTGTATTATTCTCTTTTAAAGATATTGGAATAAAACATAATAGAGAGAGATTTAATGTTTATATTGTATATACATATATATCTTTGTATATTAATATAGAAACATTGAAATTGAAGAAATTAATATTAGTTGAGAATTTTAAACAGGCGAAGTCCAATAAACGTATCGATCATATAATTGACATAAGAAAATTATAATACCAGTAGAATTTAACTTAAATCTAAAATATCCATTCACGCAACACTCATCCTTCCATACTCACTCATTTTTATAGATACTCGTTCGCTAATATTTATGATGCTTGCTATTATTGTCCTTGTACTAAGATTGGATTTCGTCAAAATGTATTTTTATAGATGTATTCGTCGAAGTTTAAAAATTCCCTTTTTAGATTGTCTCCAGTGATATCAGGGATATTTCGTCCATTAATACGAATTTTGTCTTTAAAAAATTAGTATAATTAAAAGAACCCTGTTACTTGGGAATTTGGCTCTCGTGCTCAGGAATTAAACACGTGTGCCTTGTTTCACGTTGTACAGGCCAAAAGGAAAAGCTAAGCAATTGTACGCTTACCTGCACGCGAAGTAAACAGGAGGGGGTATTCATTTCGATTATCACGCTCTATGATGAATACTTCTAGAATTACTTAGTGTGATCAATGGGCAACCCGTTACAATACGTATAAAAAAAAAACAAGTTTGGTCAAAGGTCCAAAGATGTCAAAGTACAGTGTTTTAACGACAAAACATGTTACTAAATTTCCCGCAAAATTCCTTTGAATTTGAATTTTCACGTAAATTGCATGTTTAATACACTCCTCAAACGATTTTTGGAAGCCAAACATAACTATGGTGTACAGGAAATAGATTTTACGATATCTTAAAAGATATGATATTAGCCTTGACTTCAGTTACTCCATAATTTCCAATTGGCGATTAAATATTTTTTTTCTTAGTTTTTATTTCAATCCACACTCCTTGTATAGTAACACTTTGTAGTATTTGGCTTATTGTATAAGCAACGAGTTAATTGCTTCATTTTTATCTGTACTCGTGAGTACTTAATTGATTGTATTTGAAGCAATAATAACGTTTTCTTCTCATCGCTTAAAGGATCGTGCAATATATTCCTAATTAATAATGTACAGTATGTCAAGAGTATCTATAGTGGATGTAAAAATGATTTTCAACGCATCCAATGAAATAAATAAGAATTTGTCTTAATAAATATTATAATCAATAAAATATTAATGATTGACATAAATTATGCTGAGGTAGCACGTAATATATTTAATATATCGCATGACTAAAATCAAAAGAGCGTATAACCATAGGATTTTGAGCAAGCATACGACTTTTCATTTATTCATTAGTCCAGGGTAAAAGTAGGTTGTAAAAGATAAAATACAAAACCGAAATAAATATATTACATGGATGCACGAGTATACACCAAATAAAAAACTTATGCGTCCCGCATGATAATATAACCGTTAACCGTACGGATAAACGTGGACGATGGAAGAGAGATGAAATCCAAAACAGCTGCCGCTACATTGCCAGACCTTAGTAGCCTAGAGAGAGGCTCGTTAACGCCGTAATTCGTCCTATGACGCGGTACGAAGAAGGGGAGATGATTACGTGCGGTCCTTAGTGGAGCAGAGATGGTTACAAGATCGAACAACCTAGAAAAGTCGACACGATTATGTATTAAATTCTATAAAAATATTAACTCAGCTTTATGTCTAAGCCACGATAGAGAGTTAAGCTTGAGCTCGGTGTGTAAACAATCGTGATACGATCTGTCTGTAATTCTAAACACATAAAGTTAGACATAAACAAACTTACACTGGACACGTTCAATGGAAATGGCAGGCGACACATAAAATGGGAACCAGACAATAGATGATTCGAGACGTATTCGAGAATCGGACGAGCGAGAGCTCAGAACATCATTTTGAGTGACTGCGGATTACGAAAATAGTGCTACGTCTGATAAACCCCAGCATGCGCATCATCTTTAGGCAAATAGCAGCAAAATGCCGGTCAAACGACAGGTTCGAAGTAAACAGGACGCCCAAGTCCGAAGCAAAATCTAGCCGCAGAAACGAACAACAGTTAACAGAATAATCAAATAAGAAAGGCTGCTTCGGTCGATAAAATGACATGACAAAACATTTGGGCACACTGAGGCTAAGCTTATGACGCGCACTCCGTACCGAGAGCCTGTTCAGGTCAGATTGCAGAAGAGTAGCGTTGTCAGGGCCGCGAGTAATGCGAAACACTTCTAAATCATCAGCATGAAGGAGGAATTTAGAGTGTACGAAGCAGCCTGAAATTTCATTGATAAATAGAACAAAAAGCAAAGGACCCAGGTGAGATCCCCGCGGGACCCCAGAAACCGCTGTGAACATCTTAGACCTCGCAGACCTGACATTAACAATAGGACTTTTGCTTTTAGACACATGATATATTAATACATAGAGTTATCCATGAGAAACGTATCACCTGAATCTAATTTTATCATGGAAATCAAATGCACAAGCTAACTTCATGTGGTACATTTGTCGTGAATAACAACTTATATAATTTTACTGTCCTGCTAAGATTTAATTTTTAATATATTTTTCACACTGATCAATAGAACAAATAAACATAGGTACACCGTTTAACCATTCATTAACATTATATTGACGTCAATCGCGAATAATACGAATGAGGAAAAATATTGGAATAAATTTGGTTTAATTAGTCTATTTCTCGTAATTAGTCAACTGTTAGAATAATACTTACTTGGTATGTAAAATAACAAAGCCTGGTTACATCGTAATATTTTAAACCAACCAAGTTTATGCGTATCATAAAAACTGTATTCCTGTGTTCTCGCGAAAATTACGTGTCATGGAAAAACCGTCA